ATAGCTCAGTGGTAGAGCACTGGCTTTGCAATCACAAGGTCCTGGGTTTGTGCCCGGCGCTATGTATGAGTACTGATATGCTGAGGTCAGCATGTTGGGGTCAATGTCGGGGCAGAAAGGAACTGGCCACCCTACCGCATCGTCCCGCGGCTTAGTAAGCATGTTTCTCTGCAAACATGTCCCCTACGTTCACATGGACATGGGACAAACTTCGACTTTGAGATATGATATAATTCTAACTGTTTTACATATCAATACATTCCTAACATTCTGAAAACCCAACGTACAGCCCACTTACAATTACCCTCGACTTTCAGTCCTGGTTAAATCACACTTGTATAGCTTCCGCCATTCCACTAAATTGATTCATATTTTTTTCTTGTTTCTTACATGTTGCGTGCATTTGATGATTTTCATCAAGACCATCTGAATTAACACCGGTGGGTCGAACTGCAAAGAGATCACTCTTTTTTTATGCAATTGCAATTACTCCTACCGGTGTACACGTGTTTTTTATGCATCCAACAGACTTTTCAAAGCAACTAACAATGCAGAAAATTTTTCGTTTTCATTTCATATTGGCATTGTTTCCAATCGCACAAAATGTGTTAAGCATTGATAAGGCGAGGCTTTTATGTCTAGAGGTCTGGGTCCTGCAAGAAGATCATATCCAGTCACTAATTGCTTGCTACAAGAATATCGGTCACACAGTTTTGATAACCTTGGTTGGGTAGTCCATGACTCTGGGGTATCAGACCAGGAAATCAGTAGACAGTTAATTGGTCTGGCAGCAGGTGCCTTAAACTCACTGCACTGTAACGATCTGAACCGTCATTACAGAGCGCAAGCCGAAGGCGTTCGTTGACGGAGTTATATGTCCTTTTTACATTGATGGAATGGTAGCTTGGGAAAATTTAAGGTCTGATGGAAAAGTCTACTTGATCATTTATATTGAAACGGTTTATAATTTTTTTATGTTTGTAAAAGAAAGGCAGGTATTGTGTCCAGGTGTTCATTATATAGACCAGTGGTCTTCATTGCGCGGCTCGCGAGCCAGTGGCGGCTCGCCAAGACCTGAGTGGCGGCTCGCAAAACAGAGAGAGAGAGAGAGAGAGAGAGAGAGAGAGAGAGAGAAGAGAGAGAGAGAGAGAGAGAGAGAGAGAGAGAGAGAGAGAGAGAGAGAGAGAGAGAGAGAGAGAGAGAGAGAGAAGAGAGAGAGAGAGAAATGACGCTCCTTCCGCACAGGAACTGTACGTGTAGGTTACGTAAAATCCAGTGCTCGGCGACCCATACTTTGCCAGTATCAAAAATATGTAAAAAATATGTAATTTAGTTTCTGTATATATTTTGTTCTGCAAATACTAATCCTTGTAGCTTACGAGGCATGTGGCTCTCAATCTGAATATGCCCTGAACTTTTGGCTCTCTTGAAAAAATTAGTGAGTAACACTGATATAGACCTACATTTAAGGAAAATAAAATGGAAAAAATAGGAACACCTGACAACCACCGTTGCCATAGAAACCCAAGTGACATGTGGCAACTCTTGGTATTTTGACAATCGGGCACGTAGGCACGAGTCACGGGCATTCCTCCTCACTCACGCACGACGCAGCAGAACAGAGCAACCAGAGCAGCGGGCGGAAAATTGAGAAAAAAAAATACTGCTGACCGGCGACCTGCACCTGCATCGCTGTCATAGCACGTCTTCCTACCTCTGCTTCTTGTATAATCTATAGAAAATATATATACGTGAGTAAAGAACTTTAATAATTGAAGGCAAGCAAACCGACAGAAGAAACGTGAGAAAATTACATACATTATTCATATTTTACTCATATTAATGAAAAACCCAGTGACTTTAATAAACTATAAATATTACTCCCCCGTGTCTAAGATCCCTTTACACACTAAATTCCAACAACTTGAATAAGAATCTTCACTATGGTAAAACGGAAGTGATATTTACATAAACTAACAATTACACAAGTTGATAATTGAAAATAAACTAAATTAATTAACTTGTATATGACTATAATAAGAATTGTCAAATCTTATAAAAAATGAACCGGGTATAAAATTAAATATATAAGAAAATAAATAGATTAAGACTTAGAAAAATCTTGATAAAGAACAAACATTGATAAGTATATGACATATTGCTTTGATGGATCATTAAAAAAAATCCACACAGGATAGCAGAAATATTCCCCTTTATTAGGTAATACTACACAAGTACACAATACTGCAGAACTTAACTTAGATGAGGGTAAAAAGGGGCTGCCGATCCATTCTTCTGCTCTATCCTCAGGCTTTACGAACTGCCTCTGCTCCGTTCACGGTCGTTCACGTCTCCCTTCTGTGTCCCGACCTAAGCTTTCGCCAAGATTCCCCCTGACCTTGCCTTGCCTGCACTGTGCCTGGGGCTGTCACGGAATTCCAGGTGAACTATCTCGGACTGTAGTTATGAGGGCAAAGTAGGGTCGTTTGTCGGGTCAACGTTGTTAGATCTTCGTGATCTCAATCTGTCTCGCTACACAACTCACAAAGCTGTGGTTTGAGCAGATTGGTCAGATCTGTTTAGGAGTTATAGATGGCCCAAGAACCCACTGGCGTCATGCTATGAGGAATCTCATGGATGGAAATGATGGGTGAATACTATTATGCGCCCCTTCAGCATTAACCCCAGCGATTGAGAGGATGATTTCCTCTTTCTATTTGTTTTCTTTGCAAGTTGTGAACGGCTTGGAATAGTCTTTTAAAGATATTGATATGTTTTCTGTTAACTGCAGATTTAGACAAGAGTACACCTAGAGAAAGAGAGAGAGAGAGAGAGAGAGAGAGAGAGAGAGAGAGAGAGAGAGAGAGAGAGAGAGAGAGAGAGAGAGAGTCTCTAAAATTCCCTTATCATCCCATTTATCATCCACCTCTAAACCTGATTTTCTAGCCTCCCATCTCGGTCCCTTTGCCCCCAATCCAGGCTGGATACAAAACCTTATAGTCCACGAAAAATAAGCAGGATTTGGGCAAATAAAGCTTTGGAGGCTCCCACAGTCCCAAAGATGGTGGACCTTCTGGTGACATTGGCGGTAATCCATGATGTGTTAATATCACTCACTTTAATATTGACAATGAGGTTAGAAGTTCTACATGCATGGACTTTTCCTGTTATGATTCACTGTACCTTAATAAAGTATTAAGACTTTTTTATATCCTTGCTCTGTTCACACAAAAACTAAGAACACAGATTAACTGGCTCGTTGGACCTTTTCGTCGGCATGTGCTTATATGTACACATTTGTAGAAACTACAAGACAAATGAGTAGAATATATACAAAGTATACGATAATTTGTCTTTGTGTTAAAGGACCTAATATGCGATGAAAAATAAAATCAGCGGCTATTTTCGCCGCCAGTTGGGCATCTTTAGAATATCTGATATACAATCATACACAATGACTAAGTGGTAATCAACTGCCACTGCTGCAGCAACAGTGAGCAAAACTGCTTCTTTTGACTTTGGCTCCACATGTCCAAGAAGTGTTAACCAAACTTTTTACTTCTAAAAACTGTCAGCGTTTAAGCTCCCTGCCTCTTCGTTTAAGGGACGCAGTCAAACCATGCTTGTAGGAGATACAATGAAATCCAAGGAAAAAATTATTACTTTTATTAGTTATAAAATAGTGCAAAAATAGTATGTAATGATGAAAAATAGTAGATAAAGTATGTGAAGGTTTTTGATTCAGCATATCTGAAATAAAAGCAAAAAAAAAAGTCAGAAATTGGTGATTATAAATGTTTTTATGTCAGTTTGAGGAAAGGAAAGTATGAAATAGGAGAAATGCATATCATCAGGAATTCAGAAAATTTACACCAGTTTTACAACAAATGATGAATGGAAATATTGATAATAAAGACAAGTATAGTATCTCACTCACCACTCTTCCTTTGACTGCAATGCGACTCCATAACCCTATCGAGGGAAGGGAAGCGCTGTGTTGACTGAAGCAAAAGGGTTTTCCGACGTGAAATCGAGAACTACGTATTGCATGGTTTAGGATGACACAGGTGGCTTAGGAACTGCGATTGTGAAACCTCTAACATTTTCAACAGGTGTTTCACTGTCTTGGAAAGGGTAGGGATGCTCTTATCTTCCCAAGAATTTCTCATGCTTAATTCCTGTCCTGCTGTGACATAGCAATAATTATACTGTCACGATAGTCAATAGTCATCGATCTTGTACCAAAAGCCTTACATTTTTTCCTCCTACAGAGAAAAAACATGTTCTGCAGAAGTGGTTTCTATTCTATTATTTCGAATGTACTTCCAATTGCTGATGGTATTTGTGCTGGTGATGCAAAAAGTAGCCAACAGGTCAGTGTGTATATAAATAAATGGATAAATAAATGCATATATATATATATATATATATATATATATATATATATATATATATATATATATATATATATATATATATATATATATATATATATATATATATATGTATGTATATGTATATGTATATATATACACATGTATATGCACACATTTATATTTAAACACACACACACACACACACACACATATATATATAGAGAGTTATATATATATGTGTGTGTGTGTGTGTGTGTGTGTGTGTGTGTGTGTGTGTGTGTGTGTGTGTGTGACCGCGTCGCCCTCCGACCAGTTGGCTCAGAGGTTTCCCCGCACGAGACAGTCAAGCGAAGTGCGCAAAATGGAGACATTTCCTTAGGATTTCTTCTTTCCTCGTCAGGGAATTACCCTCTTCTTAAGACTAGATCTGTTGGCGTGCCCCGTGCTTAAGCGTCGCAAGTTGAATTAAATGCAGCTATCATGACTGCGATTATGCAAATTTTGGCATTTGTGTTGTATGTCACAGCAGGTCAGGATAACTTCCTCCAGCTTTGTTGATCACAATTTCGATTTATTCTTTTTCACATAATGGCATCACTGCAATCAGTCCTATCAATAAATATATTATATTTCAGTATTTTCGTCCAGCTGCTCCCGCGACGCGCGCCGC